GACTGAGGAATCCCAGTGGGATCCAGTCTCCAGGGACTATGGTAGGTCCAGGATGGATGGGCTGGTGCCTCAGAAAGCTCACCTGCTTATTCGTGGTTCAGTTGGGAAGCATGTATTGAGCATCTACCACTGGCTTGTTTATTCAACAGACACTAACTGAACACCTACCGTGCACCAGGCACCTTCTGAGTGCTGGGGAGACAAGGGTGAGATGAGTCAACGACACCCAGATCTCTGCCCTCATGCCGGTGATGGAGACAGGTGATGAGAAAAGAAAATAGCTATCAAGACAGACAGTAGTCCATCCCATGGGATATGAAGTGGGAAGGGACCTGCATCTTCTAAGAGAGGGTCAGGGAGGATCATGTCTACATGAGGACCTCATATCAGTTAGGGTTCTCCAATTAACTACCCATGCCTTATGTATCCTATTATGTATCTTATATATATCCTATATATATATATGTATATATATATACACACACACACACTACTATATACCTTATGTAATCATCACATACACCATATATATCCTATTATATATAAGCTATACATTATACAGTAATAGCATATATACACACACACTATGATCTATTCATTACTTATACCTTATATATCCTATTATGTATCTTAAATATATCCTATATTGATACACTATTATATGCTCTATGTATTCATTTCATAAATCTTATATATCCTATTATGTATCTCATCAATACCTTATACAGAGATATCTTCTATATATTATCTATTCATTACCTACACTTATATATTCTATTATGTATCTTACATATATCATATGTAGATAAACTATTATATATCTTATCTATTCATTACATATACCTCATATATCCCTTTATGCATGCCATATGTATCCTCTATAGAGATACAATTATATATCTTATGTGTTCATTACACGTACCTTGCATTTCCTATTATGTCTTATATATCCTATATAGACATACGATTATATATTTTATGTATTCATTACATATACCTTGCGTATCCTATTATGTATCTCATCTATACCTTACACAGAGATATCATATAGATATACTGTTAATTACTTTTACCTTATATATGCTATTATGCATATCATATTCTATGTAGATATATCGTATATACCCCACTACCTATTATATATTTATTATACATACCTTGAACATATCTTGCATATCCTATATATCTCTTACACATACTCTGTTCCATACCATCTATTTCTTATTATACATATAGGCAACAGAAAGATAATAGATTTTATTTTATTTTATTTTTAATTTTTGAGTTGGAGTCTCACTCTGTCACTCAGACTGGAGTGCAGTGGCCGCTCCCGGCCACTGCAGCCTTGACCTGCTGGGCTCCGGCGATCCTTCTGCCTCAGCCTTCCAAGTAGCTGGAACTACAGGTGCGCGCTACCATGCCGGCTAATTTTTTTATTTATTGTAGAGATGAGGTCTTGATAAGTTGCCCAGGCGGGTCTTGAACCCGCGGGCTCAGGCAATCCACTCACCTCAGCCTCCCAAAGCGCTGGGATTACAGGCTGAGCCACCGAACCCGGCTAGATGATAGATTTTAAAGGCCTGGCTCCTGTGGCTGTGGGAGCTGACATGTCCGAAATCCCTAAGGCTGGCCGGCATCCTGGAACCTCGGGCAGGAGTTGATGCCGCAATCCTGAGACAGATTTTCTTTCTTCTCTGGGATATTTTGCTTGTTGCGCTCAAAGCCTTCAACTGAGTAGACAGGGCCACCCACGGAATGGAGCCCAGCCTCCCACTTAGGGTCAGCTGAGTGCAGATGCCACCCACACCTACAAAACACCTCCCGCAGCACCACCTGGTGATTGAATCCCAGCTGGTACCTGAAACAGCATGCCAACCCTCAAGGAGCTCCAGAGGCTCTACCTCTTGGCCCCTCCAGGCACGTGGGAGCCACCGCCCTCCTTCAACACGGCCACTGAACCAGGACTCGAGCCATTCTGCCCTTCCTCTGGAATAGTGTGGAGGCCAGAGCAACTCCTTCTTGGATGCTAACCTACCATGTTGACTTGTGATAAACCCCAGTCCCAAAAATGTCTGCGAGGCTTCTATTTTTATCTACTGCTCCTTGTGCAAGAACGCATACTTACCATAAATACTATGCTTGGGTTCAAACAACCTTGGTCAAAAACCTTGACCTTAAGCAGTTGTCCTATACACCCCTTCCATATCACTCCTTCTCTGTGGTGTATAAGCCCTGGGTCTGGGGGCAGTGGGGTGGGATCCACCATCTTGACTCATTGCCGCTGGAGACACAGACATAGACATGGCTTCTGTTCCTAAGTCCCTGCCAAATTTTTTTTTCTTTTTGAGTCAAGGTCTCACTCTGTCGCAGTGCAGAGCAGGTTCACCACAGCCTTGACCTGCTGGGCTCAAGTAGTCCTCCCGCCTCAGCCTCCCGTGTAGCTGGGACTACAGGTGCACACTACCATGCCTGGCCTTTACACGTTTCCTTCTGAGAAACTGGGCTTTCAGCCTCTGTTCAGTCTCTCAGCTTCCTCTGACTTTGGGGGCAGACTTGCATAGCCCTGCCCTCGGAAGAACAGCAGGTGAAGAGAGCACAGAGAATCGACAAGACTGAGGATCTCATCTCACAACAGTGACCTTCCAGAAAGAGCCCTCTGAGCAGTAAGACCTAACGGGGTCAGCATGATGAACCACCCACCATTGCTAACCCATGTCACCCTTGTGGGGTGGTTGGGGGGGTGGCCTTCTCTGTCACCCCATTTCTCCCTACTGTGACTTGGGTGGAATTGACCCCACACCCATATCAAGGGTGGACGGTGCTTTCAGGACAACCCGGGCATTCAATCCCATTTCCCTTGCCACTATTGGGATGAGAACAAGACCCAGACCTAAGCCAATTGGCACACGATATTTCTCTAGGCACAGCGATCGGTTTGTGGGTGAGCCCAACAGAAGGAAGCTTAGGGTTTTTTTTTTTCAATGGCTGGAAGTCTTCTTGCTCCATCTGGATGTGACTAAGAAAATGTGTAGCCAAGAGTTGCTGCTGGAAACCACGTGATCCCACAAGGGGAGCCAGCCTGAGGATGATGCCAACATGTGAAGGGAGAGTCAGAGAATCACAGAACACCAGAGCTGTGCTCCCATGGTGATTGTCTGGATCAACCCCACCCTGAAGCTCACACGACTGCCAGACATTCAGAAAGGAGTCCACCTTGTTTATACAGGCCAGAGTGGTTGTTTTTCTCACTTGCAAAGTGTAACTGGTGGTACAAGTAATTTTAAAAATTGAATTATTTATTCTTTGTGTACACCAGTGTTGGGGAATATGGAATAATTGGAAACACCAGGGCATTAACAACCAGTAGTATGAAATGTCAAAATAAAAAGGATGCCCCAAAGAGACCCCAGAAAAGGTAGACTTTGGGGGAAACTTCATGTGTAAGCAGGACTTCAAGTCAGCCTCAGGAAATTCAGTTGAATTTACTGATATTGTCTCAATGGTGATATCTCCCTCAAAATGCACACGTTGGAAACTTAATCCCAGTGTAACTGTATGAAGAGCTGGAACCACTAGGAGTTGATCAGGGCATGATGGCAGAGACCTCATGACTGGGATTAGTGCCTTATAAAAGCAGCCTGAGGAGCTCGTTTACCCTTTTCCACCAGGTGAGAACACAGAGAAGGCAATATCTATGAAGAATGCAGCCTCACCAGACACCAAATCTGCTGGAGACTTGACCTTGGACTTCCCAGTCTCCAGAACTGTGAGAAACAAATGTCTATTGTGTATAAATTACCCAGTCTAAGGTATTATAACAGTGAGAATGGACTAAGACAATTACCTTCACATTTAACTGCAAAGATAATACCAACACAGTTTGTGGTTGGATGTGTATACTCATTGAGTCCAAAAAGTCCTTGAATGTCAAGGCTCTTGGTGTGTCTTGCCTCCCATTTCCCCTACAACCTTTGAAGCCATTTTGATTGGCCAACCGGTATCTGTATCTTTCACACCTAAAACACTTCAACATGATATGGTCTCCCTTAATTAAAAGTTTAATTTCTAAAAAAATGTACCAGATCACTCTAAGAAACTTTGGCATTCAAAGCAGCAGTTACTGTTGTTTGCTAACTGGGAAGAAAAAAAAAATCCTCTCACTAACAACTTGGAAACTTCTACCACTTCCTAGCTCTGTAGGGAGACTGAGGATGGGTACCGAAAGCCCCTCATGCTCTCAATCCATGGAGGAAACTCACAGATTGTGACAAACTACACCTGGACTCCAGGGCGAGTCTGAAGGGGGAGAGATATCCCAACGATCATCTGTTGTGTCTGTCTCCTCCCCTCCTTCACCCCTACTGTGCCTTTGAGTACACAGGCCCACAGGCACTGGCCTAAGCTCTCAGAACAATGACCCCAAGAGCCGAGTCTGGAAACCTGAGGTCCTAGTTGGAGCTCCCGTCACTGGCTCAGCTACAGTGACCTTTAAAATGTCCCCAAATGTGTTAGCTATCAAGGGACTTGCCTTCTGACACTCTGTAAGGAGGGGACACGTGTGATTGGAGAGTCTCTCCACAACCCCCACATTCCTAAGACCTCCTGACCTCGAGTTCTCCAGAGCTCCAATGGGAGAATTTCTGACACTGACCACTGAGGAAGCAGCCATCCATCCAGTGTCACCTTGCAGCATGGCCATGGAGAGGCCCCTGGACATGCTCAGGTGTGAACCCTCAGGTGTGAGCCCTCAGGCATGAGCCCTCAGGTGTAAGCCCTTAAATGCGAGTCCTCAAGTGTGAAACTTCAGGTGTGAACCATCAAATGGGACTCTTCAGGTATGAACCCTCAAATGGGAGGTGTGAACCTTCACGTGAGTCCTCGGGTGTGAGCCCTCAGGTGTGAACCCTAAATGTGAGTCTTCAGGGCGAGCCCTCAGGTGTGAACCCTTAGGCATGAACCCTCAGGCGTGGACCCACAAAGGCGAGTCCTTGGGCCAGCCCTCAGGTGTGGATCCGCAGGTGCCGCGTCAGGTTGGTGTTCCGGCTGAAGGTCTTCCCACACTCTGCGCAGCGGTAGGGCTTCTCGCCAGTGTGGGTGCGCTGGTGCACCGTGAGCGAGGAGTTTTTGATGAAGCGCTTCCCACACTGGCCGCAGCAGTAGGGTTTCTCGCCGGTGTGGATGCGCTGGTGCTCGATGAGGTATGCGCTCTGGCCGAAGGCCTTGCCGCACTCGCCGCACACGTAGGGCTTCTCCCCGGTGTGCACGGCCTGGTGCACAACGAGGGACGAGCGCCCCGCGAAGAGCTTCTTGCACACATAGCACTCATAAGGCTTCTCACCGGTGTGGATGCGACTGTGCTGCGTGAGCCCCGAGTTCTTGCTGAAGGCCTTACCACATGCGCTGCACTCGAAGGGCTTGGTGCCCAGGTGGACGCGCTGGTGCTGAATGAGGTAGGCGCTCTGGCTGAAGGCCTTGCCGCACACGCCGCACGCGTAGGGCCGCTCGCCCGTGTGGTTGCGCCGGTGCAGCGCCAGCGATGAGCTCTTGGGGAAGGCCTTGCCGCACTCGCGGCAGGCGAAGGGCCGCTCGCCCGTGTGCGTGCGCCGGTGCTCCGTCAGGTGCATGTTCTGGCTGAAGGCCTTGCCGCACTCGGAGCACGCGTAGGGCCGCTCGCCCGTGTGCATGCGCCGGTGCACGACCAGGTGCATGTTCTGGCTGAAGGCCTTGCCGCAGTCCGCGCACACGTAGGGCCGCTCGCCTGTGTGCACACGCGCATGCTGCGTGAGCGACGACATCTTGCGGAAGGCCTTGCCGCACTCG